AGATTTAACCTCAGATTAAAAGTGAATTTTTTGCTAAATATTTTTAATTTCCTCCTTTAAGATCTAACCATTATAAATAATAAAACAGGTTTTAAATTCAGTAAGTATTCATATGGCAGTCACAAGTTTCATATTTATTGATTCTAAATAAATTTGACTTTCTTTAAGAATGTTGATTACATCGTATGAGTCCTGTATATTTGAATGAAAACATTTTTTTTTAATATAAATAAAACCTTCTTTCTATAATTTTACCTATATATTTATTATAATGTTGAATGAAAAAGCTGGTATATATATATAAAAAAAATTTTTTTTATTCAATAAATACAGAAATTCGCAAATTTAAAATTTTTTTCTTGTTAAATTTATTCTTTTTCTCCTCCTGTTATTTTGATTTTCTATTTTTTTTTGTTTTTCGATCGTTTTTATTTTTTTTATATTTTTAAAATTATTATTTTTTTTTTATATTTTTATTCGTCACCCCTTCCTGTTATATTTTTTGTTTTTATTTTTAATTTTTTAATGTAATTTTATTTGTCTTCCTCCTCCTGTTATTTTATTTTCTTTTTAGTTTTATAATTTTTTTTTATTTTCTTATCATTTTTATTTTATTTATTTTTTTATTTTTTTGTTTTTATTTATCTCCTCTCCTCCTTCCGTTATTTTTTTCTTTTTAGTTTTTTTATTATAATTTTTTTTTCTTTTTAGTTTTTTCTATTATAATTTTTTTTTATTTTTTTATTGTTTATTAATTTTTTTGTTATTAATTTTTTAGTTTTTCCTATTTAATTTTTTTTTTTTGCTTATTAATAATAATAATTGCAATTGCATTACTGCAATAATCTAAAGGGTGTTATATTTAAAAGAGCGAAATCAGTTCTAACTAAAACTGAAAAAAAAGCCATTAGATTTTGATTAATAATCAAAAATTAATAATCAAAAAAAATAAGTAAATAATAAAAAAGTTACCCACCTTACTGTGCTGTCACAATAATCCAAAGTGGTGAATCTCTCAATCTAACCTATAAAATATAAACTAAAAAAAAAAATAAAATTATTAATCAATAATTATAAACTGATTTATTATTAATTAAAAAATAAATAGTTAACAATAGGAATAAACAATACATAATATTAAAAAAAAAATAAAAATAATTTAATCATACATCTGACTGCAACACTATTACAAATCAACTGATCTGAATCTTTTTTTTTTAAAAAAAATATTTAAACAATCTTTATTCCTTGAAGTAGATTCCTCCTTTACCTTTATCTCTATCTTATACTCTTCCTTTTAGTGTTAATGTTAGTATTAGTATTAGTATTAGTATAAGATAATAATAAGTATTCTTTATACGTAACAAGAAGCTTTAGATAGTTTTATTTAAAGTAGTAATTACTTTGAATAAGTGTGCTTGTATTTATTATTTTAAAAATAATTTAGATTTATTATTATTAGATTTTATTATAATATTTGTAAAAAAGTTAAGAAATTAAAATTTAAATGTTAATATTAATTTATTGTATTTATCCTGTAATTGGTGATATTCTATTATAATTTGTTTATCTGTTTTTATTGAATTGTGATCAAGTGCAATACAAAGTTAAGGAATTTCATATTTTAGCACAACTGATTGCAATATATGTTTGCCCAGCTGTGAATCTAATAGTATTGTAACATTTAGTAGTATTAATCCTTGAGTTTTATATACTGTTAAAGCATAAGCATTTTGTATAAAAAATTAATGTCTAAATGCTAATTGTCTATTATAATTGAATCTATCAATTGTTTTAGTTACAGATATATAGCAAAGATCAGATTTTGTTAAAAATGTTATATCAATAAGTTTTTCATTATGAATTTTCATTATAATGCCAATTGATTTATTACAGATTTTATTATCATATAAAGTGTTGTTAAGAAATATAACACAAGCTCCTTTTTGAATTTGAACTGTATCTGAAAGATTTGTATATTTTCTAAAATGTTTATTACACTTTTTAATATTCAAGGTTCTTTATTGAGTTTATCTTGAGTATATGATATAAATGATAGGTTGTAGGATTTATCAATTGGCAAATAGGACATAGTTATTTCATTAATTCTATCAGTTATATATTGATATTCCAATATATGAGTTGTTTTTAGGGAAGATTAATATTTGAAGGTGATATTACTTTGCTTTTTAATTTCTTTCATATTCCACTTATAATTTGATTAAATCATATTTGTTATAGAATTTCAAGAACTCTACATCTTCAGATTGTCTTCTAAGTGTAAAAAGGAATAATGACATAAAGTAATCTCATAATACTAATTTGAATATAAGTGGTGCATTAATGAGAGGTAGTTGTACTAAATCTCTAACTAACAGGACCATTATTCCACTAAAGGGTAATGCATAATTATGTAATTCACAAAATATCTTATTAATAAAATCTAGTAAATATAAAGATATCATAGAGATTTCATTAATTATAATAGCATTTATTTTTCTTAGTCTAGTTTTACTTTTAGCATTTCTCATGGTCAGTAATGTGTAATTACTTGATTCTAGCTTTATTTGTAGTTCAGAGTGTATAATTTTGCCATTTATATTTTATGCAGCAATACCAGTCAGGATCATAAGTAGATAACTTTTTTAAATAATTCATAATAAGTTTTATCATATAGGATTTTCAGTTCTTGCTGCTCCTGTTAAAAAGTAGTATAGATGTTTACCTTGCTGAATAGTTTTATAGTTAAAATATTGGTCATCTATACTAGTTATTGATAAATATCTTAGTAAGTAAAGAACTGGATTAATTAGTAAAGTTAATTGTTCACTTATTAATGCTTGTAAATCAGTATTCAAACTTAAAGTAATTTATTAAATTAGATAATGATAATTTTGTATTATTAGATTATATCGAACTATTAATTTTTGTTTTATATTAGTTGTTAATTCTTAATATTCTTGAGAAAATTTTGATTGAAAATTTTCTTTATATGTGATAAAATTGTTCAATAATTCTGCATCATTATAAAAGGGAAATCTTAATAGTACTTATTAGTAGAAAAATTCTTTTCCAGATTTGATAGTAGTATGATAAAACTGTACTAATATATCTTTTTTTCTTTTTACACATATCTTTCGTTAAGATCTATCCAATATAGTCTATTTAAATTTGTTAATTTAGAATATATTTGATATTACTGATGATATTTTGGATATGTTATTTTATCAAAGATAGAATTTCGAGGTCTTTTAAGATATTTGTTTATTGCATCATTCCAGTAGAGATTTCCATCATCATTTAATATTAAATGGATAGGCTTAACAGATTTTGATCTAAAAAAGGTGGTGCTAAAGGTAAATATTTAACTACTATTATAGATTAACAAAGTTTATAGCTAAATAATAGTATCATAATTTTTAATGAAAAATTTCTTTGAGCTATTATATATTGACAATAAGCATCATGTTCTTCCAAATCAAATGCTCCTATAAGCTTAGCTTTTGTTATATATTTTGTAATGTAATGTGCAAAAATTTTAAAGTAACATACATAAAATAATAATGGATTTACCATAATAATAAGATTAATGCATAATAAGGAACTATCTATTGGTCTTCTGGTTTAGTCCTTTTGTAAATATAATAATATGAATTAGGTAGATCATAGGTTGTATTTGATAATGGTTGTGAAAATTTTTTAAAACATCTTTCATCAGGTGCGCAAAGACCATTGCATGTTTCAGATCTACATTAATGAATTTGATATTTTATCACGAGTTTATATAATTCAGGTTCATATTCTAGATTTAGTATATCAGCTCTAATTATATTAAATTAATTAATTCTTCGATTGGCTTTTCTAACCATACTATTCCAAGAGTATAGATAGCATCACGATTTTGAAATTCATCTTTTTTCCAATGGTAAATTCATTTATCCTATTCTGAAAGCTTTGTATTTTTTCATAATTTATTTCTTACAAATTCTAATTAATGATGATAATATTAGTATATGTGCAATATCCTATTTGTAAGATTAGTATCTTTATTATCAGTTAAGGATAGTATATTTTCAAGATTATCCTAGCCATTTTCATTCATTGTAGTGGTATAAAATATTTGGAGTAATTGGAATGCATCAACTATCATTTGAACTTGAAGTTCTTTCTTTTTGAAATAAGTACTACCAGTTTTAATATAAGATAGCAAAGTTGATGTAATATTTTTATTAATAATTAGTCTATTATCATATTGCTTATAGTAATTAAATCTGCAGCAGTTAAACAGTTTTACCTATTTGTATCATTTTATCTTAAAATTCTTGCATAATTTTGATGGTTGTGAATTTTTTCTAAATTCATATATAATCAATGTTGGTCAATATGAGTGTAAATTTAGGATTTGGAGATAATAGTTAATATTTAATATATATTTGATAATTGTTAATATATATTTGTTTATTAGGATTGTCATTATAAAAGCTTGTTCCTGTTAGAAAGAGATCTGGAAATAGAAGAGTTTCTAGATACTTATCATTCTGAAAGATTGAAAGTTATTTTTATCTAGATCATTGATAAAGCCAGCCATTAATCAATCATAATGGAAATTTTCATTATAGATTTCTATATTGAAGTTATAGGAAGGCATTATTAATTCAAGATGATTTATGGGACAATTTAAAGAAGTTGAATTTTGAGTATCAGAAATTTTTGCCATTAGAAAAACTATTCTTAAACTATTTTCATTTATATGTAATATGAATATATGGTTTAAAAAAAGGATTATTATTTTTAAGCTAAAGTGTAATATTATTTAATGATTCATGATACCAGTTTTGATTTGAATTATTTTTCAAAATAGTACCTATTACTCTAGAATATAAAAATAGTACACGAACATTCTTGAAAAGACCAAATTTTTCTAATAAAGTTCTATAATTTATATATGCATTAGAATTTAGAATTCTATCTAAAGAATAATCTAAAAATACTGGAGAAAGCTAACATCTATAGTGCATTAAAACATTTTCAATTTCAAGTGATGTTTTAACAATATTTGGAGGAGGTTTACATAGCCTTAAATCTTTGTAAGAAGAACAAACAGCAATTTTAGAAGAATCATTTATATGTTCGACTGGCTCTTTAAGGATCCCGAACAATCTATGTATAGGTCAGATAAAAATTTTAAAATTTACTATAATCAATAAGCAAACTATTTTCAACTCTGCTAAGCAAACTCTCATTATGACTTAAGAAAATTTGACTCTACTAAGCAAACTGTTTTGTGACTTATATATATTAAGTAAAATTTGTAGTTTCTTTATATTAAACTCAAAAT